CCCTAGGCTCCGCCTCCAGCTTCCTCGGGGCCCGCCTCCTCACGCCCCCTCCGCGTCCCGCCTCCTCGGGTTCCGCCTCCTCAGGTCTGGTCCCCGGAGGACCCGCCCACGCCACGCCCCACCGACAGTCAGGGTCGCTAGAGGATCCCTCCTGGCTCTTTGAACTGGGAATCTGGAAAAAGAAGCATAGCTGACCTACCCAGAGTTCCTGGTTTGTTGCCCACGGGGCAATCTGGGAGGAGGGCTGACTTTTGCCATCGTCCTGGGCAGTTATTTATGAGGAGAATGTTAATGAGAACCATTGGAAGCCTAGTCCCGTGGAGCATCGCCTTCCTGCACTAATTGTCAGGTCTTAGTCTAGCAGAGGGACTTTCCGGGATGCTAACTCCTAAATGCAGTTAAGCATAGGCGGAATGAAAAGGAATGAGGATCAGAAGCACTTTTAGGCTGTTCTGATGACAAGGGAGACGTTTTAAAGGAAGCTAGTAGAAAAAGAGAGAACAGGTTTGGCATCTATTAATAGTGACATCTACTGAGAACTTTTAAGGGAGAGGCCTTTGCAAGAGGGTGGAAGAAACCAAAAATACAGCTTGCCCGTGAGAAATTTATGAGGAAGTTAGGATGACAAGACACACAAGTTTTGAAAACTATTATGAAGTATGATATGAATTTTTATAATTTAGAATTTAAATAATTATAAATTTACCGTAAATTCATTGCAAAATAAATCTGAAGAATACAAGGAAGTGAAAGAAAAAAGTGAAATCACCGAAATCATGCAGCCAACTCTACTGAGCTTTAGGTGTATTTCATATTTATTTTTCTCTGTATATATTTAGATATTTTATAAAGCTGTGATCATGCTGTTTATCCAGTTTTTTAACCTGCTTTTGTCACTGTATAATGAATATTTTCATCATTAAGTGCTCTTAAAAGACATACTTTTTTAAAGGTGCACATGTGAATATAATTTATAATCATTCTATTTTTATTGAATATTTAAGATGCAATGCTGTTTCTTGAATTATATTTTATTGGATATTTGAGATGTAATACTGTGCTTCCTGAATTATATAATTTATAATCATTCTATTTTTATTGGCTATTTAAGATATAATATTTTGTTTCTTGAATTCACTTTTTTTTTTTAGAAACAACTCCTAAAATTACAATTATTAGGCCATAAAGGACACATACTGCTAAAGCCTTAATACAGATTGCAAAATTGCATTCCACAAAGTTTAATTTTCATTTAATTTTGCTACAAACTGATCCATGCTAAGGGTTTATTCTAGGACTATAGCCACAAAGTCTTGGAGTTATAATCCCTGCGCTTAAGAGATATACCAGACCAATCAGAGGGCCAGATACAGAGTCTGAAACAGGTACATGTAAAGCAATGAAAATTCCAACAGATACACACTTGGCACACAGCCTGGACAGAGGTACTGGGTTTCTCATAAGGGGAGCTTTCCAAACTAGGTGTAATCCTTTGGACTAGTAGAGAGTCACTGGCTGCTGTCCTCTGCAAGCTGCCCACTCCAGGAGAAGCCAGTGTTTTGGGTAGGAGAGGTTCAGGAGGATCAAAAAAGATGAGCTTCAATCCAGATGAGGACAGGGATGGGGACCAAAAGTGACCTCTCCAAGGAAGGGTGAGAGGCACTGACTTTCAAGCAGATCCAGGTTGGCCTGTGGTGCATCCTTGGGAGTGTGACAAATCCTTGAATGTTGTGGTTCAAAGTGTAGCTCAAGGCCAAAATGCTTGCCTGATTCCTCTATCAGCAACACTGCCTAGACCTGTTGAATAAAAGCTGCACTCAGATGGGGTCCCCAGGTGGCTCAGCGATGTTGCAGAGGGGCTATGCCTCTCACAGGCAGTGGTTGGCATGAGGGTAGATAGCAGCGAGAGAAAGTTGCTGATGCCTGAGCCTGTTTCCAGGTGAGATTGAACAGGATACTTCAGGGCCACAAGTCTGTGATAGGGTTGTATGTAGACAAACCACAGGATGCAGAGGCTTTTCACAAGTAGAAAAGCTTTTTCACAGACTAATAGTAGGATTAAACTGAATTCCCACAAGTTCTGTCCTGACATCTTTCCTGTGTAGCTACAGGTTCACAGGAGCCTCTGGAGGCCTCAGTGGAGGGCTAGTTTCAGTTGGGGAGTGATAAAGAAAATAGAGAAGGGGTGGCCTAATCTCCCTCAAGTCATGGCTTCAAAGAATTCATCAAAACTGGAAGCTGACTTGGTGGCACATGTCTGTAGTCCCAGATACATGGTAGAGTGAGGGGGGAGTATTGTTTGCTCCTTGGAGTGTGAGGCCAGCACATGAGACATATCTGAAAACAAACAAAATACCCTGATAAACAAGCATAAACACTATAGAATGTAAGTACTGGATCATCAGTCTCCCAAGTAGAAATCGCCTTGCAGTTTGAAATCTCAAATTTGTAGATTCATGGCTACTAAGAAAATTTTCATAAAAAAGAAAGGAAATTGACAATGCACATTTTTCCTAGTTTTTAAAATAATGAAACAGGACTTTCATCTAAGCAGACTGCTGAGGACTGCCTATCCAAGGTGGGGACCTACTTGCTCCCACACCCTCTAGTGCCCTGGGGCTTCATCAGAGCAGACCAGTGAGGGCTGGCAACCCTACAGCATTCCTCACCAACCCCACTCCTACTGCTCTCAGGCCTCCTGGCTGTGCCCATACCTGGATCCACACTGCAGAGACACAGATGATACTGAGCTCCAGATGATAGAACAGAAGATGACAACTACAATAAAGGCACATCAGACCTCTGTAGTTGGTAAGTAGAGGGGACCACCACCTTCCATCAGAATCTGGACTATCTTCAGGGGAAGGGCAGCTAAAACCTGCAGTAGAACTTTGCAGAGTTTAACACAGCAGGAGGTCAAGGAGCTCAACTTGGGCCTAGCAGCCAGAATTCAGCCTGAATCTCAGGGTTTTGTCATTGGATTTCTGAGACTAATTGACTTAGCTCTGCCCACATTGTCTGTTGTGACAGCAGAGATATACCCTGAAGGAAGCCCTTCAAATTTTTTTCTTTTCCTCTTATTTTTAATTTTTATTTTTAAACTCCTTTTTTTCTCACTCTTCAAATTCTTCCTTTTTTTTTTCTTTTTCCCACTCAATCTCTTGTTCCTCACATTGTTCTTCATCTCCCTTTTTGTTCCTGTTCCTGCCCTAATTCAGATTTTTTTCTTTCTTTTTCTTTTTTTTTCTTTTTTCCTTCTCTTAATTATCATAAGTTTAAATGAAACTGAGTACAATTTATAACTTCCCTGTTTCTGTTAAATTGTTCTATTCCTGTCTTTCTTCTTGCATGGTGTCTTTCCCTTTTGTCTTCAACAGTTTCCTAGAGTTCGTGTGATCATCCTGTGTCCTCTAGCTTCACTTGAAATCTCCTATCCTTCTACCTATCTATTCTTCTCCTTCCAACTCCTTCTAAGTCCCCATCCTGAAGGGTAAAGTTGCTATATTGAACCGTTTATTAACTATAAACATATTTTGGGCTGGTACTAGATTTTTATTTAATTCACATGGCTAAAGATGATAGACTAATAACTACCACAAATTGTCAATTTCTAAACTGTGCTTGATGCCATGGTGTTGCTGACTGTATCACTTGGGCTAAAGGGTTGTGATTGATTTAATCAGTTGTCCTTCCTGATATTATGAAAATGAAAGTGTCTTGGAGTCATTAGAGACTCAAAACCTAAAGAGCAGCTATATCAGGAAGATCGAGGTACTAACCCAGAAATTAAACCAAGGACAGCCCAACAACAAAAATGAAAATGAGAAAACACTTAAGCAAGGCACAAAGACAGACTTCCAGTTCACCAACAGCAAATGCTAGGGGAAACGAGGTGGAAAAGTCTGACAATCAACCAGCAGGACACCCTGAACTCATAGCACAGGAAGTAACAAAACAGATCAATCAGGCTCTAGAAAAATTCAAAACAGAAATAATTTCCCAGATAACTACAGAGATGGTGAGTACAATGAAAGACATGATCAGAGACTGTAGATCAGAAACAGACAAAAAAAATAGATGAGGTCAGGACCATGATAGAAGCCATGAATGCCCAACATAGGAAAGAAATGGAATCCATGAAACAGATTCAAACAGATATCTAGAAGATTAAAAACTCTATTGAAAGCATTCTCAGCAGAATGAATAAATATGAAGATAGAATTTCAGATGAAGAAGATAAAATTGCAGTCAGTGACCATGAAAAGAAAAATCTCTCAAAAACAGTAAGGGATCATGAGAAATCAATCCAACAACTCCAAGATGATGCAAAGAAGAATAATATAAGACTGATAGGAATGCATGAAGTAGCAGGAGGAAATACAAATGACTTAAAAGAACTGTTCACTGAATTAATGACAGAAAACTTCCCAAACAGAGAGGAAGAATTTGATATACAGATAAGTAAGGCACATAAGATTCCAATTAGCCATGATTTAAAAAAAAAAAAACTACATCGAGACATATAATAGTCAAGATCCCAGAAACCCAACAGAAGAACAAAATACTGCAAGCAGTTAGAGAAAAGAAACAAATCACAGGCAAAGTACAGCCCATCAGAATCATTCCAAACTTTTCAACATAAACCCTCAGGTCAAGGAGACACTGGAGAGAAGTATTTCAA